CCATGAATAGCAAATGAGCTTTAATAAGGGGAATAATCACGAAAAACACATTTTAAGCTTGAACATTTGCCAAATGAAAATCTCCAATTGCACAATAAGTGGTTAGCAGTACATATGTCATTTTATGACTATAACATGCAATTAAAAACTTTCACTGTTGGTCAGTTATCACACAGGGACATCAAGGAAAAGCAAATAATATCACTACATGCAGAGCTGGGCAGCACAGGTTAAAGTATTATTATGTACAATTAGGTATTCCTGAAATACTTGGTGGCTGAGACTTAGTTCTTGACAACAATTATGAAAAAAGAATGTATCTTGAAATATTGTATTCTTTCCTCTGTAATTTTTTTTAAGAGTAACCTGTTATTTACACAGCCCTGCAGGCAATATGATTTGCCAGAGGATAGAGCAGTTATGGGCATAAAATCTTTGCTCAAGGGCTTTTAGTAAGAAGAATTTAAGGCACCTAAGATGCACAGCTGCAGCCTAGAAATGCAGTGTGATACATTTTCCTTTAGTTTCCTTTTATACATCATTGAGCTCTCAAGGAAAACCTCTTATATCTCATTTGTAGAGCAAATCACAACTGCAGAATTCCCCATGAGTCAACCCCATTTAATTTCTGATGATAGGAGCCTAAGAAGGAATTAATCAGCTTCACCTAGAAACTTCTTGTTATTTTGAAAGCAGGGAGGTAAAAAGTCACCCTTGCTATTCTGTTTTCTATTTACTGGGGTATATAAATAAATAAACCTTAGTTCATGATATTGTGCAGCACTGACCCCAGACTTGAGTGAGATGTACCACAGGGAGCACTCCCAATTTGGAAGTGGGTGGAAAATCTGACCTGCTGGGTCTTTCCATCTCTGACCACCATTATCCTCTGAACCCTGCAGGAGCTGCTCTGGAGGCAGAGACAACCCCAAGCATCATTTCAGTGCAAGGCCTCCCACCATATCAAATGCATTTTGATGACAAAAAGATTGATATGGTGCTCTTCTCCTTTGATCCAAATTGTTTTCATCATTTCTAGCATAACAAATACAAGCATATTTTATGAAAGCAGAAATTCAGGACTATACCAAGTTATTATCAGCCACAAACAACATAAAGCTCCCTGATCAGATAAAAAGAAACATTCTAATTATCTCAGCATAAAGGCTTCTTTTCTCCCTTTAAATAATATTTAGGATCTCCATCAGTAAATACAGTGGGAAACCCTGGGATAAACTAAGCAAAGGTACAGAAAATAAGTGCAACAAAATAGCACACAGCTTTGTATTCCTGTGCTGTAAACTTTTGAACTGCATCCATGGAAGAAAACGGTGGAGGAAATAAGATCAAATGCATGCTGTAGTAAATATCAGGTATTGTGATAAATTGCTTTTATGCTTCCAATAATTGTAAACATCGTGTAGTTTCATATTCCTGACATGCTTGAAGAGATCTGCAAGCCTTTTTTTTTTTATTATTATTATTTTATTATAGAGCAGCATCGCTTTCTAGTTTATTTTGTGGAGAAAATTGTCTCTTTATGCCATAAACAACTCCAAGCAGTTTGTTCAGGGAAGCTGAAAGGTGGAATTTTAGCCCATTAGACACGGGCAGGGAAGAGAAAGTTCCGATTTCAACCCAAACTCGATTACAGAGCGTCCCCCAGCGGGAGTGTCCAGCACTGCAAACCCAGAGGACCAAGGTGGGTTTGAACGAACTGAAATCCACGGAGAATATTCGGAAAGACCAAAAAGGCACGAATATAAAATAATTTTCTTTTCGCTACAATAAGAACATTAGCATTCTCTTTGTAACGCTGTATAAATGATTTTAAAGGATAAATGAGATAATCATCAGTCAAAGTGCAATCCTAAGCAAAATAACAGAGTCTAATTAATATGAGATCTGACAAAAATAATTAAAGGAGGGTGACATAATTAATGCCAGTGGACACAGTGGATTACATAAAACAGGCATTGTTAAAATCATCTGATATCTTTCTTTTTTATGAGTGCAAGGAATGGCACATTAATCCTGAGACCTTTCTAGATGTGGGTGCAATTTTTACAATACTTGGCTTCTACTGAGCCAGCAATGCAGGAGAAGGAATCTCCAGGAGAAATGATCATTTATCCAGTTTAGGATGAGTTAGAAGGAGATGCTGAATTGCCAACTGCTCCACAATTGCTTTAAGAATGGGAGAACCAACTTCAAAAATATGCTATAAGATAATCAAATCTTGCATCCTCTACCTGAGTGACAGAGTACTTGGAGGGAAAAAAAATATTAAAAGGCTTTTTTCAAATGGAAAGATGCAATTTCTATTGATTCCATGACTGTGTGGATCCCAGATTTATCTTTGGCCTCTTGTTTGTGGCATTTGTCAGATGAGTCAGGCTTCAGGCTTGGGAAACTTGAGCCAATTGCTGGTATTCTCCAGTGATCTCAAATTTCTTCACCCAAACACTTCTGTCAAAAGGGAACACACTGAAATTCTGTCCTTCATCTCCTGACAGGCTCCAGTTTCCCGTCCCAGGCAGGCATAAACATGAGATTGAACTTTAAAGACTTCTATTGCCCATGTGAAATAAAAGCTTCTCTAGCACTCACTGGTGTTATTCACAGGAATATTACACAAAGTGAGGAATACTCCATAAAAATAATACTTGTACTGATGTCTTTGTATTCTACTATGGCTTTTTTCCCTTACAATTATGAAGTAATGCATGTCCCATAGTTCTGCAAGCAGACTGCACTCCATCTTTATTCTTCAACATTGGGTAAGATCTTCTAATGTTGAAACACTGACATTTTTGCAACTTTTATTTTAAAACTATTGAAACATCACGTTATCCCATTAGTTTTGGCTGTCCCTGGATAAACTTCTTGCTTTGTGTAAAGACAATTACCAGATCAGCATGAAAGTTGATCTCTGATCTCACAGGGACAAACTCAGCTGTCAGGTAAAATGTCAAGAGTTCCCTTTGACTCTAGTGACTCCAGCTTGGCCTTTTGCAATCAGTTGAGGTTTCTTCCAAGAGAGGAAGGAAGTGGGGAAACTCAAGAATGATAAAACTGTTCAGACTAGGATGTTAGAAATACACGTGCAGCTACTCCACAGTATCAGCAGGGCGTGAACTTGGCCCAAAGGTCTTCCATTTTCCTCTGTGAAACAGTGCACAAATGAGAGTAGTGATCTCAGCTACTTTTATTTAATTAACCTTCATTTTATTACAGCCATTGAATGTCACTGAGTAAGCACACTGGTCTGTGTTCCTCACTGTGTCAGCAATCAGCATCTGCTACATTTCAAACCCAATTAAGTGTCTTTTTTCCCCAAATGTTGTGTTTTTTCTTACCCTTTCTATCAGCACGGGTTACTTCATCTTTGTTCCTGCTGAACAAGAGCTCCATCATTTTGCTCTCCATTTCCCTTTTCCTCTCACATCCTGCTTACATAATATATCTGAAATAATCCTGACTCCCAAACCCAAGTCTACACTTTGGTCGTCTCTCACTAAGTTATAACACCTCCTCCTCCTCAGATGTTTGAGAACTTGGCTTCTGCAAATCAGCTTCTTACAGATGGTGCTTCCATTTACTGGCACAAATTGGTTACTTAGAAGTATTAGTCATTGGAGATACGCATTTTATAAAACATGTGAAAAATAAGAAGTAGAATAAACAGGAACATACAGTGACATACTGCCTTGGCTCTTTCCCTGTATATTTTTCCCTCCTAAGGACAAACACTACACAGCTCTCACCATGTATTTATGTTCAAGTGAAGTTATGGTGTAGGGAATTATTATTTGAGAAAGTACGAATGCTTTTCCAAGAGTCAAAACCATCACCCCCAAAATGCCACACTTGGAGTTTTATAGACACAGAGCAGCGACTCAGACCCAGAGACACTGCTTTGGACTCCTGACCTTCCACTGCTTTTCTGTTTCACCTTGGACTAGACTTCATCTGTCAGTGTCTTTATCTTCCCCTCTGTAAATGTGAAGGACAGTATTGGTGATTACTGTAAAAGTAGTCGTCGTTAGGGCTTGCCTGCTCTCCTCACGCACCCTCGCCCTGATCCCCACCTCCCGGAGTGCTCTGGCATGTGATCACACACAATCAGGGGTGAGGAATGGACCCGGAATTTCTCCTGAGACATGCCCTGAAAGACCATGGAGGTTCACACAACTGCATCCCTGTGCAGCCACAGAAGCCTGGGCTCCTTCAGGGCTTGCATTGGCCGGGCTCCCCCTCAGCCCGCTCCCGCCCGCCTCTCAGGGCCGCCCCGGTTCCCTCAGCTCCAGTTCCAGCTCTATCAACTCGTTCCCGCCCGGTCGCCTCAGCCCTTCCCGGTTCCCTCAGCCCTTCCCGGTTCCCTCAGCTCGCCCCGGTCCCCTCAGCCCGCCCCGGTCCCCTCAGCTCGTTCCTGTCCAGTTCCCTCAGCCCGCCCCGGTTCCCTCAGCTCGCCCCGGTCCCCTCAGTCCGCTCCAGTCCCCTCAGCTCGTTCCTGCCCAGTCCCCTCAGCCCATCCCCGTTCCCTCAGCTCGTTCCCGCCTGATTCCCTCAGCCCATCCCCGTTCCCTCAGCTCGTTCCCGCCTGGTTCCCTCAGCCCATCCCCGTTCCCTCAGCTCGTTCCCGCCTGGTTCCCTCAGCCCATCCCCGTTCCCTCAGCTCGTTCCCGCCCGGTTCCCTCAGCCCATCCCCGTTCCCTCAGCTCGTTCCCGCCCGGTTCCCTCAGCCCTCCCCACGCGTTCTCTCCCCGCCTCTCGGTTGGGGCCGTTCCCCTCACCGTGACCCCGCGCCCCGCCCCGCGCAGGCGCCCCGGCAGTCGCGGCCTCGGGGCCGCCGGTGCCCGCCGGTGGCCGCCATTCCCGGCAGGTCCTCGCCGCCCCGATGCTCCGCACGGAGAAGGTGTTGCAGCTGCGGGGGCAGCAGGGCCGCGCCGTGCGGGTGGTGCGGGAGCATTACCTGCGCCCCGACGTGCCGTGCCGCAGCGCCCTGTGCCACAGCGCGCAGTGCCGCGCTGCCTGCGCCCGCGGTGAGCTCCGCCGTGAGGGGTCTGGGGGAGCGGGGGGGGAGCACTGGCACAGCCGGGATCGCCCGAGGACAGGGCTGGGGCGGCGGGCGGCGTCCCCCGGGGCCGCGAGTGGAGGGGGGCAGAGCTCGGGGTAAAGTGATCCCCGGGGTGGGGTGATCCCTGAGGACAGAGGGTGATCCCTGAGCTCCGGTGATCCCTGAGCTCCGGGGATCCCTGAGGACAGAGCGTGATCCCTGAGCTGGGGGGATCCCTGAGGACAGAGGGTGATCCCCACTCCAAGGTTATCCCTGAAGGGAAAGGGATGATCCCCATCCGGGGGTGTCCGGACCGTGCTGAACAAATCAGGGCTGTAGCAATAGTTTGCCTTTAAAGCCAGATCCTTTAGAAATCAACGAGGCGTTAAGAGCGGAAGGACTCGAGGGGTTGATTGTTAGAGGGTTTAACTGGGAACAGTTTGCAGGCAGTGATAAAAGGCTAAAGGATCGTTCCATTTTTTACACTTCTCTTGTTTTAAAAGATTCTTTAACATGCATTAATTTCTGCAGGGTGCTGGTTTATAGCATGAGTTAAATTCCATACTTACCTGTTAAGTATTACAATGGGGCCAAGCCATTATCTTGAAGTCATTGTAATTCTGCATCAGCAGCTATTTCTGTTCAGTAATTAAATGTAATTGCCTGTGTTATATCAGGGCATTTCAGACACGGGAAGACTGCCAGGCTCTGATGTCTGCATTTGTTGTTGTTTTTATGTACTGTGGTGCTGTTATGTGCATCATAGATCATCACCCGAGCTGTGGTTGATATTTCAGTTGGGTTTGTTGTTATTCTTGTTCAACAGCACAATTTATTTGATGCAGGAAACTGACTGGCAAATAACAAACATAATATCCAACCTGTTTAAATCGAGCAATGACTTGCCTGAAAGAAAAGGTTAAGAGTTGTGACTTTTTTTTCCTTTGGAACTATGATTGGCATAGATGTTTTCACTTTTGATTTAGGTTGCAGTCGAGGGCAGAAGGTGTATTACTTAGATTATTATAGTGTATTACTGCTATCTAGGAGATCAGGACCAGTGATAGTTACTGCTCCTTAAAATACTGCATTTGGCTATTAATTCCTCAAGGATAAATTAAAGGATAAGAAAAGAAGTCTAACCTCTCCCTCTTTTGTACTTAAACCTAAATTGTGCTACAGGTGACTGTCAGAATATGTCCCCGTGTGATTATTCAAGGTAACCCAGATGTGAGGGGAAATATTTGTTTTCCTTCCTGACTCTACACAGTGTGCTGAGCAAATCTATTTCATGCCCTGTGAGAAATCCCATCAGCAGGTGCTTGTAAGGGTGAGCTGTGCCTGCCTGGGAGTCATCCTGCTCTAGATGGATGGGTTAGGCAAGGATGGCTTCGTATGGAGCACAGCTCATAAATCTTCCAGTGCCATTTCACTTCTAATGCTCTTCTGAATTATTAATAAATATTAGCTTTCTTGTATGCCTGCTGCCATCATCCATTATAAGCCTTCAGTGTGAGATGAGGCCAAGTTACTGTGTGCACAATTGTGCTGCCTGGACTCACACTTCTTGTGGTCACAGCTCAAAGATTGTCCTGTGTCAGCTTCTAAGGAATACATGAAAATAACCTGACTTGTCAATATCTATGTACTTTATTCTGTTTAATTTCCCTACACTGTGGTGAGTTCAGCAGTTCAGTGTTTATAATAAAGAATAAATAGGTATTAAGAGAAAATACAGTGGAGATCCCCTCCCATCTGAAAGCTTTTGAGTAATCTTTGAAATACCAAAAGCAATTAATCTCTTTAATTTTGAGGTACATTTTAAGATGTAGTCTGTGATGTGTTGTGTGTGATATTTTGATGGAATATTCCTAAGGGATAGAGTCTCTATGAAGAAGGTTAACACTGATGGTCAATAGTTTAGATTTAAAAACATCTTTTCTTTGCAGTAGCAGTGGTTTTCTCTATGTGCACCTTACCTGTGCTCTTTTATGTAAAGAGCCTGCTGTAAATGTGTTTGAACAGAGAGAGCTGTGGGAGCAGGGTAAAGGAATAATTCTACAGCCTTTGGAAATTCCATGAAAAGATTTTCTGTGCCAGATGTATGGGCCCTTTTTCATATGGAAACAGAGAATAAAGAACTGTAACCTTTGCTCTTTTAAGTTATAACCTTTTCATAATGAAAGTGGATCTTTTTCACTCCTTTGGATAGAATTTGCACTACATTTTGATATTAGTGGGTGTAAAAGGGTTTTGTCACAAATTTATGGGCTGTACCACAGAATTAAACCATAATATCCATAATTTTGTTGAGAAGAAGAAGAAATGTACCCATTTGAGGAGACACAACTCTAATTTTCTTACATCGGGAAATATTTTCAAGAAATAAATTATCAAAACTGAAAGTTTTAATCTTGAAACTCTGAATTATCTTCTAGATGGCAAATTGTTATCAGATGATGTCACCCACTACGTTGTCCCTGACTGCAAGGTTGTTCAGGAGTACCTGGAGATCCTGGAATTTCCAGAACTGAAAGGAATTATTTTCATGCAAACAGCTTGCCAAGCTGTGCAACATCAGAAAGGACGCAGGTATTTATCCCATAAGAACTTACTTTTCATTTAGATCGAAGTAAAAATACTGATTTGTAGAATGTATAATTTGTTTTTAGGCTTTTCAAGGCCTAATGTAGTTTTACAGAAGGGGATCCTTTGTGATCCATGGATATAAATGTCTGACACAGTTTTCACTTGATAGGAGCAATATGAAACCTGTAGCATTATTAACTAATCAAGTGGCTGGTGACAGGAATTAATTAGACTTTGCAGTAATGATCTATCATGTGCCCACAGCTAGATTATGGACAAGTCTTGGTTTGCTGAATTGATGCCTGAGCATTTGTCTTTGGGGAGCAATTAATATTATTGTGTGGTACTTATCCCACCAGGCATTAACCTGGGCATTGCCATAGCATTTCAGTCAAATTTGCTCTCAGGGCCTTCCCATATTTCTAAAGCACAAATGCTATTGAAGAAATAGCCCTTGCCCCAAAAGTGGCAAACAAAACAAGTTCCTGAAGATTTAGGATGTTTTGTGGGGCTCATTGGAAAACAAGAATGTTTAAAACCAGAAGCATTCACGATGAGACTTTAAAAAGTTTGCTTGCTGGTGATGGTTTAGGATTTATCATCAGTGGTGTAATTTAATGAGTGCATTTCTCTGTGCATAACAGTAATTTGCCTGAAGTTTTTCAGCTGTATTTTCACCTGGAGTTAAAATAGCATGATCAAAAGAAAGCACAAGAATATATTTATCTTTTTTTTTCATTCCAGACAGTACAACAAGTTACGAAATCTATTGAAGGATCCCCGTCATGACTGCACTGTGTTTGCTAATGAATTCCAGCAGCACTGCTACCTGCCCAGGGAGAAGGGAGAATCCATGGAGAAGTGGCAGACCAGGTTTGTTTGAACCTCTGCAGTGTCACACTGCACAGCATCATGACTTTGTATTTAGGAATGTGTATTCAGGTACTGAGAGTTCATGCTCTTGCTCTGCTTAGCTCTGCAACAGTTCACAGTCACTGGAAGTCTGCATTGTGCTTTATGATTATGAAAGCATCAGCATTGTTTTCCTAGGGAAATAGACAAAATGTACTAAATTAAATGCAATAATGCTGAAGAAAAAGCTGGATTAGTTTAAAGTCACACTGTAGCATCAGAGTCTTAGCACCTCCAGCCTGCTTTTTACAAGCTTTCACTTAAGGAACTTCACGTTGTGTTGCAGCCAGGGCACAGGTGGATGTACTGGGGAGGAAACATTCTATTCTCCTCTCTTCTCATGGTGCTTAAGAATGGCACAGGAACATTTTTGCAGAAAAATGTTTCTGTAGCTTGGTGTATATCTCTCAAAAGTACGAGTGTTAAATTAAAATCTCGTTCATATGAAGCCAGCAAAATCTTGCAAGTAGCAAATGAGCTATGCCAGAAATGTTATTTCAAACTTTGCTTTTCTAGGAATATTTACAATGCAGCAGCCTGGTATCACAACCACTGCCTGGGTCAGATGCCAGTTGTTATGGTAACAGAAGATGAAGATGCCATCAGGCAGTACGGAAATGAAACAGAAGGAGTGTTTGTGATTTCCTTCAAGGTAACATGCCAGAAAAATAAAAGGTTTCCTTTATGCTGTATCAAAATGATGAAGCAAGTACATTAAAGTATATTGCAAATCATGTCAGAGTTTACATTCATAAAAACTATGATGGTAACTCATGTCTCCATTTATCAAAGCAGGCAAATATGTCACTTATGGGAATGTCAGAAAAACCAATGGCAGTGAGCAAAGCAGAAAGCTGCAAAGATAAACAGCAGCTCTGAGGATAGAGGTCATCTTTCTTAGGAGACCTTTTCCTTGTTTTTGAGGAATTTGGCATTGATGAGCAGTGATCAGTTCCCTCAGGCAGCTGCCTGAATCTGGACTGCAAGCAGTCCATAAGCAGCTGTAGCCCAAATATCCATCAACAGTGTTCTGCCAGTTACTTTGTCTGGACTGCTGAGGATACAGTGATGTCTGAGGAGATAATTCATTCTTCTTTTTGGTGTCCATCTCTGACACCAGTGGTACTCAGTGAGATCTGGGCATGGGATGTTTATATTTATCTGTGGAAGGATGTTGAGTACAAGTAGCACCAAACTGATTGACCTTTGTTATCTTTAGCAGTGGATTAGGCTGAACTTGGGACACATCTGTGGGGTTTAGAGCAGACTCATCATCACCATTGTGTTATTTGTGTTGGGTGTGACACAGCTTTTGTCCATTATGGGCTTTCCAAATGCATTATTGAAAGAACAGAGATCCCAGAATACTTTTGTGTTTATTTCAATTTGTTCATGCAGAATTACTTGGATAACTTCTGGCCTGACCTAAAGGCTGCCCATGAGCTCTTTGACTCCATCGTCCAAGCTCGGCGTGAACGGGAGAGTGAAAGCCAAGAGAACCATGGCAAAGAATATCCTGAGCACTTACCTGTGGAAATACTGGAGGCTGGGATCAAATCTGGAAGATACCTGCAGGTATTTGTTACATAGAGAACATAAACAGAGCAATGCAGTCTTGTGCTTGGTCCCTTGAGTTGCCTGAATTTGAGTGATTAGAGAAAGAAATATGGCTATGGTAGAAGAGGGAAAGAAAACAAAAAATAAGAGGATGGAAAGGATTAGTATTCTCAGGATTCTTAAAATATTTCCCCTACACTGTGTTGTGACAAGTGGATTTTTTTTTTTTTGGAGAAGTTAAAGTAAGAATTGGCTATTGAAGATTTGAAATTTGCTATGGATTTTTCTTCAAGTTGATATGTGATGTACCTTTAAATTGAGAGACCAGGTGTGATTTGAAGCAGTGAGACCTCGTTCTTAAGTATAAATAGTGCTGCACAAAGGCAGCAGCTCTAACTTCATTTGCACAGAGATCTCCTAGTCAACGAGTTTATAGGTTTATGGCTGTTCAGGGTCTTCATATGAATTGTTGGTAGACGAGTGTCCTTTTAAAATTAATTTAAAGAATTAGAGGCAGTAATTTTTTTCCTTTCTTGGCAATTTCAGCAGTGAGGCAGGAATAAAATATGAACAGAAAGACTGAGGGTTTTCTTTCTTGTTGGAATAATGCCAGATTCTGTGCTAAGGCAGGCAGCAAAGGTAATCTTACACTGCCTGTGGTTGGAATAAAATGTCATTTACCATCTTACAAATAAATCCAGCGTTTAAAAGAATTTACCACTCTTTCCCAGAAGTGAATACTTAAAGTCCTACAACCTGCATTGCCCCCTATAGACGAACAGTTGTGTTCAAAATAACCTACAGATCAATAAAAACGAATTCATGTAAAAATAACTGTAACCCCCAAAATGTTATCCTTTCAAGTTGTCTGTTTTTAGGGTGAGTGTTTCATGTTTGTTGCTCTCTCCCAGGGTACACTGAATGTCAATAAGCACCGAGCACAGCTGGAAGCTTTTGTTCGGCTTCAGGGCTTTGGCAGCAAAAACACAGGTGAGAAGTTTTCAGTTTTCAAACAAGATGAAGGCTGAGACACTGCAGTGCCTGTGTGCTTTTCATAGACCAGAAAGGAGGCTGAAGATTAACCAGAAGGTGGAACTTGAGGAGAGCTCCTTCCTCTTTCTTACCACCTTTGGCCATATTCTGGCCTCTTGTCCTGTGTCCCTGCACCTCTCTGAAGGGAAATGCTGGTGCAAATTGTTGTCCCTGTGCTTTGCTCTGGCCTCAGATGGCCACTCCTTTGACTGCAATGAGAGTTTGCATAGATGTTGGCAGGATTTGGAGGCTGGTCTTTGTGAACATAATTGGAAAATTGCCTTTTGGATCAAACTGATCCAAATTGATCCAGGGTTGTCTCTCTGACATGAGTGACTAATCAGCACCTTTGAGAGTCCATTGCCCTTGCACAGACACATTGGCCCAACTCTCACTAATAACTACTTTCCAGTGTTCCTGTGACAGACCCTGCAGTCAAACCAGTGCTCAAAATACTCATTATTTTTTAAAAGCTTGTTTTATTCTGAACCCTCCTCAGAATCCTGTGGTGGTGGCTTTCACAATTGAAATATGCTCTGTTTTTTTATAGCTGCTGCCTAAGAGCAATGAACTCATCCTAGCCTATGCTGCTTTTTATCCAAATGTTCACCTACAGAATTCCTTAATAGATCCTTAAAAAAAACCAGCAAAAAAGAGGAAAAGGTTTTCATTTCCTTGCAATATTAATTTCTTGCCAGTAGTCCTTTTTTGAAGAAATCATACTGGGAAAGTAATTTTCTATTATTTCAGCGGAATGCTGCCAAGAATGGAGGAATTTAAAATTTTTTTGGCAGATTATAGTTCTGTTTCCTTTTATTTTAAATACAGAACTTCAAAGTGACATCCTTATTTATGGGCCCAAGGCTCGGAATCGTGCAATCCATGGGGATGTGGTTGTGGTTGAGTTGCTCCCTGTGCATGAATGGAAGGGAAGAACTGTTGCCCTCTGTGAAAATGAGACTGAGGACAAAGCACCTGCAGACACCACAGGTGACCCTATGCCCACAGGTAAGGAGAAGCAGCCTTTTAATTCCCTGCTGATAAATAATGAAAAAAAAAAAAGGTGAAAAAGTATCCTAGTGTGACATGCCTGGGTACCATGGGAACTTAAAATCTTGTTTGAAATTGCTACTCTGCTGCTGTAGCTGCATCTTAAAAGTTTGTTGAGGTCAGAGCTAAAAGTTTCAAGAGGTTAATTCTCTTTTTGTAGGGAAATAATGTTTTGTTTTGCTCTTTGCTATTAAAAATTCTCTGTGTTACTAGAATTGGCCACATTTCAGCAGCAGTGGGAATCTCTGAATAATTTATGTCATGTATCAATTGAAATCTATACAATGAGTTAGTCTCCACATAAATAAAAGCTTATTAAAATCTGCCTGTGCAGATTTTAAACAGTACTTTATGACACACTGTATTGTCTGCACACCATATGTTGTTGGCAGTTGTGACAGATTTGGGGACACATCAGTTTTATTTTATTTTACAAAGCAATCGATCTCCTGCACCTCCCACGTATTTTCTTACTTGGTTCTGTTTAACTCTTTAATGCACAATGTTCCTTATTTAAAGGTAAAGTAGTTGGAATCATCCAAAAGAACTGGAGGGATTATGTGGTCACTTTTCCCTCTAAAGAAGAGAGCCAGTCTCAGGGCAGAAATGCTCAGAAAGTCCTTGTAACACCTTGGGATTACCGAATTCCCAAAATCCGCATCAGCACTCAGCAGGCTGAAGCATTACAGGTAATTTAACTCAAGTGTTTCTCTGTTCCGTGTCCCTACAAAGCTGTGTGGGTGTTACAGGCTCTAATCATGTTCTCCTTGACAAAAACATGGTGAAACTATTAAAGTCTGTGAGGTTCAATTTCTGCCTTGAAGGATTGTGTTCAGTTCCTGTCAGAACCACTTCAGGTAACAGAGCTTATTTGAGTTCTGAATTTGGGCCAGAGTCCAGCTGCCCTGAGCACTTACATACCACTTACTTTGGGTTTTTTCTGCTGAATGCAAGCTGTGTTAGGGCTATAAATGGTGCTTTTCAGGGCCACAGAGCTGTTCTGACAGAGCTGCTTTGCTGCAGGAGTTCAGAGTTGTCGTGCGCATCGATTCCTGGGAGTCGACTTCCCTCTATCCAAACGGACACTTCGTGAGAGTGCTGGGGAGAATTGGGGATCTCGAGGGGGAGATTGCTGCTATTCTGGTGGAGAACAGCATTTGTGCTGCCCCTTTCTCAGAAATTCAGGTTTGTCTCTGTGATCAGATCCAGTCTTTTCTGACCCAATTCATTTCCAAGGTCTTGTTTCAAGAGGGACCCTCTTACAGCTCAACATCTTTGTTGCCAGCGGGTTTTTGAAAGCCTATTTTGAAAGCTGAAAATTTATTATTATTTGACTTAATTTTTCTGGAATCTCTTGGATCAGTGGTTCTATTGATACTATGGATTTTCAACTCAAGAGTGATTTTAAGATAATCTTTCGCTGTGAGGAGAAGATTACAAACTTTTAATTCAAATTTGAGTTAGACTTTTAAGATTTTTCTGTCTTTAGTATATGGTTATGCTACTGATCCTAAAAGCCTCATCCTACTGAATCATTGTCTTAAATACTTTGTTTTCAGCTAGGAGAGGAACAAGCTTTCATAGATAATTATTTTGATTATACCTAAAATTAATTGAAAGAAGAACACTAAAAAAAACACTGTGTAGTGGTTATATTTGCCAGAGCTGCAGTATCACTACAGTAATAACATTGGTTATTAATACACATAGAATTGTTTTCAATTTTTTTCACCTTTTTAATAAAGTAAATGTAATGGACTTGGAAAATGAAACAAAAGAAGAATTTCAAAAAACTAATTAAATCCAATTTGTTGGCATGTTTTGTAGAAAATATATAAAATCTATGTTCATCAACAATATTTCTGTATAGATGAGTGAAATGCCAGTGAGTTCTCCAAAGAATCCATGGAAAGTGAGTCCAGAGGAGGTGAAAAAACGCCTTGACTTGAGAGATAGCCACCTGATATTCAGCATTGACCCCAAGGGCTGCGAGGACGTGGATGATGCTCTCTCTGTCAGGGCTCTGCCCAACGGGAACCTCGAGCTGGGGGTGCACATTGCAGATGTCACTCACTTCGTGCCAGCAAATTCCTACACTGATGTTGAGGCCAGAGCAAGGTAAGTTATTTTCTGGAAATTAGAAAATTTCTAGAGCTCAGAAGTTTGTCATGTTACCTTAAGGAAACTTTGAAAGGAAGGAAACATGCTTTTACCTTTCATGTCTTACTAAAGACTTCTTAAAGCTAATTAAACTATTATATAACTAATGACATTCTGCTTTTATTTGGACACATTTTCCAGAAAGCTATACAAGTTTATTTTCCCCTAATCACTCCTCTGCTTTATAGTTTAATTTAACATCTGTGACTTAAAGCATTTTTAAAAACCACTCGTTTGCATTCTAAGGGAGATGAACACCCACAAAATGGAATTAAGTCTTACATGAATTTGATTCCAGAGGTATTTGTCAGGCTTATGTTTTAATATTCAATCTTGTCTTTTAATGTGCAAATATTTAATTCTCTTTTTTCTTTTATTGCTGCTGTTTTGAACTTAAACTGCTGAATCACTTAATGAACTGTATTCTTTGTAGATTCAAAGAAGTATAAAGTGTAGGTAGTGGAGATGTTTGATGTAGACATTAAGTCACCTCTTCTTCAATGAGCAAATTTTGTCCAGCCCTGGTTCTGCCCTTAATGGCAGCTGAAATACCAAGAAAGGCAAAATTAGGGTTGTACTGTACAAATTGCTATTTAAATCCGACTTTGATATCACACCCGTGAATGTTCTGTGGGAATAACCTTTCCAAATCAGATTGCTGTGGAGCAATGCTTACAGCCCAGCCCCAGGAGAGCTGCTGGGCACAGCAGTGTCTGTGTTTTGTTGCAGGGCCACCACGTATTACCTGGCAGACCGGCGCTATGACATGCTGCCCGCTGTCCTCAGCGCCGACCTGTGCTCCCTCCTCAGCGGGGTGGACAGGTGAGGCTTGGGAATTGTGCTGGGCAGGGAGACTTTCACCAGTCATTTTTAATTATTACTGCAAGAATTGTGTGCATTAAAAATTACCTCGCAGTTGTACCACAGGTGGGGTGAATTTTATATCGATTTACAGGATGTGCAAGGCTGGCATGAGGATATGCAGGGTACAGAGATGTTCTTTGTGGATGCATCTGACTAATAAAATAAAAATAGGTAAAAATAACTATCACAGTGTAGCTGTGCTTTAACATAAAGGAGATCTTATACCTTAGGGGTACTCTGCTTCAGCAGATGAATTGAAAATACTGCTGTGTAGCTGCTCCTCATTTCAGTTGTCATGCATGAGACTGAAAGGCAAGTGCATTATTTGCTGGTGTTGCTGAGCACTCGTTTCATGGAGAAAAATATGCTTCCACCACCAGAATTAAATCTAGACATTTCTAAGAGTTGAATGTGCTTGAAATGGGAGTTAAAGTCTACCAGAAGTATTCCAGAACTGTGGTGTTGTCTTTAAGATACGCTGTGAGTGTCTTGTGGGAGCTGGAGAAGGAATCGCTCGAGACGCTGAGGGTTCAGTACAGCAGAACCCTGATCCGCTCTGCCTACAAGCTGGAGTACGAGACAGCCCAGGCACTGCTGGATGGGGACACCAGTGTGGTGGGGGATATCCTGGAACTGCAGAGCCTGGATGAAGGAACGAGGCAGAAGAAGGTGGCTGAGCTGGTTTGGGCCATATCCAAGCTCACCGACATAGCGCGACACGTCCGGGCTAAGCGGGACAGGTGCGGCGCGCTGGAGCTGGAAGGGATCGAGATCCGAGTGCAGCTGGATGACAAACGGAACATCCATGACCTCATCCCCAAGCAGCCGCTGGAAGTACACGAGACCGTGGCGGAGTGCATGATCCTGGCCAACCACTGGGTGGCGAAAAGGATTTCCCAGGATTTTCCCCACCAAGCTCTGCTGCGGCAGCACCCTCCACCACGCCAGGAATTCTTCACTGAGCTTCGGGAATGTGCCAGTGCCAAGGGCTTCTCAATAGACACACGGTAGCTTTTATTAAAGTTTGTTTATTTTATTAAAGTTCTGTAATTAAAGTTAAGCAATTAATTATTTGGCCATGTTATTGTTAAACAATTCCAGCTGTGAGTATCACTGGATGTCAGTTTTTAAAAAGTTTTATCAGAATCTTTCTGATGATGTTCTGACCAGGAGAAGCTGCCTGCATTCTGCTGGCTGTACTGCAAATGGCAGTGGCTGAATAATTTTAGACATACCCGGACAAAACATTTGTGCAGTCACTGTACAATGTTCTCTGTGCTGCAGTGGCTCTGCAATGGCCTTGTTTGCACTGTATTTCCTTTGTAAGAGAGTACTGGTTCAAATCAAGTGAATTTTGTGCAATGTAGTAATTTTAAATGACTCAAAATAATTCAGAATTACTTGGACAAGATAACATGAGAAGGCCATGGTGAAGGGCATCAGTAGAGCCTCTGTGACCTGGGTGTCACCTTGTCCCATTTGTGCTAGACACAAAGGTTTGGACCAGCTCACTGTTTTGTACTGCACAGGATGGAGTTTGCTGCAGTCCCTGGATATCCAGGTTGCAGCGGGGTGAAAACTGAGATTTTTCTAAACATTTTCTTAGAGCTCTTATTAAACTGCACCGAAAGTTTCAGTATCTCTCTGCTTGCCCTTTTTGTATTAATAACTGTTAACTTATATGTGGGTTTTTTGCTGTTGTTACCTGTGAGCCATTATAACCAGTGACAGTGTCATTTTCTTTGGAATTAACACCTTTTTGCCAGGTCTAACAAGGCTTTGGCCGAGTCTCTCGACAGAGCAAACGACCCCTCAGATCCCATTGTGAACAAACTGCTGCGCTCCATGGCCACCCACGCCATGTCCAACGCCCTCTACTTCTCAACTGGCTCTTGTCCCGAGGAGCAGTTCCATCATTATGGTATCTGGTCACTTTTCTGCCTTTCCTGTCATTTCTGAGCTGTCGGGGGAGCTTTGACTGCTCATGTCTGTTCCTTTCTCCTGGCAGGGCTGGCCCTGGAGAAGTACACTCACTTCACCTCTCCCATCAGGAGATATGCTGACATCCTTGTGCACAGGCTCTTGATGGCAGCCACGCTGAGGGAGACCACAGGGGATGTTAAGGACAACATCATGAGTAACAAGGATCTGGAGGAGCTGTGCAGACACATCAATAACAGGAACCGGGTAAGGGAGTCTCCATGGTGCCCTAGGGAATGGGATACCAGTCCTGACTGTGGCTTCTGTAAAGAGTATCACTTTACTTTTATTTGTAGTGCTTTGGGGTTTTTTTAAATACCTGTTTTCTTCTGAGTGTGGTAGTAAAAGTGTCTTCATACTTCACTTGTACTGCACATAGGATTTTGTTTTAGATGTAATTTTTATTGGACACAAGTAAGGGAGTAAAAAGCAGCTGTGGAAATGAAAGCCAAAGACACTTGTTGGAATATTTACAATGTTTTTGTCTCTGTGTGTGTGTGGGGGGTGCTCACAGGCAGCCCAGCGTGCTCAGAAGCAATCCACAGAGCTCTTCCAGTGCATGTACTTCCGAGACAGGAGCGCCGAGAGCGACGAGCGCTGCGTGGCCGACGGCGTCATTTACTCCATCCGCACCAACGGCGTGCTCGTCTTCGTGCCCCGGTGAGCCGGGGCTGGGCAGGGCTGGGAATGGCACCTGGAATGCTGAGAGGGCACGGCTCAATCCACATCTGGCATCTCCAGCATTCCAGAGGGCTCAAGAGCCAGAGCCTCCCCAGCCAGGAAAGGCTGCTGGGCAAACACAGTGCTGCTCTTCAAGGAGTTTTCTTTCATGGAGAACTCTCTGCTCACTATATGTCTGGAAAAACCTGTAAAGCTGCTCTTCCCCCATCACTGAGCCATTCCAGGGCCCCACCCAGCACTAAGATAATGGATCACTGACTATTTCACTTTTGCTTCACTGCTCTCGAAACACTTCAGTCACTGTCTCCATGCTGTTTTTACGGCTGGGTTTCTTTGCCAACACTTATCAGTGTTCCTGAGGCAGGATTATCAGGCTGCCGTGCCTGCCCCTGCCTGTTGCTTTTCTACAATCCTAGCCAGCTTGTGAGTTTTGAAACTAAGAGACCTGAAAAGGCTGAAGATGGTTACAACAGCTTCTCTCTGCTCTTTTGTAGGTATGGAATCAAAGGTGCAGCCTACATGAAAAACAAAGAGGGCTTGGTCATCTCCTGTCAAGGGGCTGGGAGCTGCCAGTGGAAGCCTGGATCCCTCCATCGCTCTCAGCATAAAATCACCTCCACTACAACCACTGGAGACTCTGTGACCTTGAGCCTTTTCGATCACATCACAGTGAGTACCTCACATGAGGGGAGGAAGAGGAAATGGCACCATCAGAAATGTAAACACAGTCTTGCTTTGCAGGTGAGAATCCTCGTGCAGAGTTCCCGCTGCCACGCCGAGAGCATCAAGCTGGAGATCATCAGGAACGCGCCGCTGCACACTGCACACACTGAGGCTGCTCACAGGAGCTCCCACGTGGTGAAGTCTGACCTGGTGAAAGAAGTCAGCCAGTCTGCAGAGGAGGCCCAGCGTGCCCAAGAGAGAGCCAGGCTGGAAGTGATGGATGAGGAGTCCCGGGAGTTCTGCCAGACCAAGGGGCCCAGCCTGTACCAGCTGCTGGAGGAGATCCGGGAGCTGGCGCTGCTGGATGTGACAGAGGACATCAGGACTTGAACTGGGACCTGCCACCAGCTGCCTGGGGCTGTCCCACTCCTGTGACTGTGCACAAGTGCTTGGGGGATCCTGTAAAAAGCAGTTTATTTAAATATTCAGGAGTCTTTTCATTAAGAAATGTCTATTTTAAATAAGAATTATTTTTATCTGATTATGAGTATGGATGAGTTATGAAGATTTTATACCTTATAAAGCTCGTATTTCAGACTAAAGGCACTGTGCTGTGCATTCTTTTAAAAATAATTCCAAAGTTACTTTGCTCATGTTGTCCATAAATGAAGTTCTTAAAGCCTAAATACTTCCTTCTTCCCTCCAAGGATATAAAAAGCAAATTCCCTCATAAAATAACACCTATTGCCCTGAGGGTAGTGCCTTGATTCAGCGTGTAGAAATTCACACACATGGGTGATTCCTCTTCATTGCACAAAAGGGAACAGCTGTTGTGCAAGAAAGCCAAGATTCTGAGAAAAGGATGAAGCAGAGCCTGAAGCAGAGAGCAGGAGACAGAAGGAGGAGGTGCTTGTCTGGGGAGAGATGTCTGACCCAAGGATGGGGACGTGTGGGAGCCCTGGCCTTGTAACAGCCTCATACAAGAATTTCAGGTTTCACTTCTGAAATTTAACAGCACCCATTTTATATGAATATATAAGTTATGAATATATAAGTAATGGCTAAGCAGTTAAAAAATAAATCCAGTACCCCTGTTAAAAAACCCCAAACAACACACCTTTAATAGCAACTTAATCCATCAACATCCCAGTTAATTCAGTTTAATATAAATTATAAACTATATTCAAAGTAGGTCCAAAAACTCATAAACATTTCCTAAAAAACGTTTTGGGAGGTGGAAAATATGGCTCAAGTGCAGCTGAAGAACTTTTGTTCTGTTTCCTGGTGTACAGATCTGCTCCTCTGCAGCTTCCAGGGAAGAGTTCTGTCCTTCAGTGACACCATGGGAAAGATTTCCCTAAAGCTTCTGGAGTGCCAAGAGCCAGCAACATTTCAGTAGAATAACAGTACTTAAAGCAGGGGGGATCTTTTGGTCAAGAAAGGCATTCACAGTGTGGAGAAATTACTGCTCTTCCCTGCCCCATTCCAGTTCATCATCTCCATCTTCTTCTGTGGGAGCATCCTTGGCTGCAGGAACCTGAGTGTCTTCAGTAAGGTCAGTGGGATCCTGAGCAACTGGGCTGTCAAACTCCTCTTCTGGGTAACTACTGGGGAGCTCTGTTGAGGAAAAAAAAAAGAAAAACCATGAGCAGACACTGTTGTTGTGTTTAGCTGATGTTTCCATCACCAGAATCCCAGTCTGTGGCAAAGGCAGCTCAGAGAGAAGAGGCCGATTTGCATTTCGCCAGAGACAAAGCTGTCACAGCTTGGTACAAGCACCAGGGAGTTTAACTACAGGAAAACTGTTCAAATGTGAGAGTTGCACATTCCAGCACGTACTAGGAATGCCACCAGAGCCGTGACCCAGCAGCTCAGCCCTGCCCTCACTGTCACCACTGACATTGGGGTCCTTTCCCTGGTGCTGGGACTGAAATTGGGGTCCTTACCCTGGTGCTGGGACTGGCTGAGGCCCTGCAGCCGCGCCTGCCTCCGCTCCAGGGCCAGCTGCCGGTTCTTCCTCATCCGCTCCTGCTGCTCCTCCGTCAGAGTGGCCCCAGGCAGGGAATTCAGTTCTTCGGCATTGCCAGGGTGGGGATGTGCATCTCCAGCAGCTGCATCCAGCCCATTGCTTTCCTCTTCTCCTTCTGGTTAAAAAGGAGGGGTGGCAGGGGCAAGAGGGGCAGAGTCAACACTTTCAACCCACAGAGATCCACTACACATCAGTCAAGAGAACATTCTGAAAGCATTTCTATGTTCTACATTTTGTATTGACAGCTGAAGCTCATTCCATAATTTAATTTTAATGGGCAATTTTCTGCCTAGGCTCCCATCCCCAATATTCAAAGGACTCAACAAGTGCTCAGAGCTCACACACACACAACAATCAATGCCTGAGTGCAGAGGCACAGCTCTGTGTACTGAATGAGCAACAGCAGCTGCGCTTGAAGGGTCAAAAGGGACAGGAAATCCAGGCAATACTTAGGGACAGGTAATTTTCTTCCCAACCCTACTAGTAAAACACTGTCCTTTAGAAAGTGCAGGAGTCACTACAGGAATTCCAACCTTTCAAGGCCAGGCTGTGTGGCACTAACTGTGTCCCTGTCCATGGCAGGAAATAGAACAGAATGGGTTTTGAGGTCCCTTCCCACCCAAAGCATTCCAGGATTCTGTGAATCAGAAGTTTGAACATGTATACTGAGTACTCAGTTCTGAATTCAGTGTGCTCTGTGATGGAGATATTTACTCATCTGCCAGCACTGAAATGTGTGAAGTGGAGGCAGTTCAATTAAACTGCACCCACTCAGAGAGCAGCAGAGCACCCTTGAAAGAGAACCCAAGGCCTCTGCACCACTTTAGGCCCATGAATAGAAACATGAGCTGACAAAAAGGTTGGGGGTTGTTAATACAACACCCCAGGTTGAGTTTTTATTTCATCCTTGTGAGATGCCTGCTGCAGTTCATCTCCTGAAGGCTGTAGCAGTGCCCTCAGTCACAGAGCTCAGGAGCAGCTCAGCACCACATTTAAAGCCCAGTGTGTGGAACCATCGCACAGAACACCTGATTCCTCTGCAGAGCCTGTCGGCAGGAACCACTCGTGTTGCTGTCCGTGCCTGCCTCTGGCTGCAGTGCACCTCTCACAATGCAGCAGCAGTGAAGGCAGCCACGTGTCACCAACTGTCCCAAGGCCACCCCAAAGCTCAGGCCACTGCTACCTCTCATGAACTCATCCACCACACAACATTGCCAAGCACCGCCTGGGCTGGGGGCCGAGGTTCACACGGAGACAAACAGGACAATGGGTAGATAATGCTCTCAAGAGACTCACAGTAGAAATGCAAAACCCTGCACAGGTCCTTAGGAACAATGAAATTCCCTCCCTTCAGCTGCTGAAGTTTCTTTCAAACTGCCATGTGAACTCTATTTCCACTTTAATTAAAATCTGTTTATGTCTAATTTCTATCTGATTGGAATAGACTCTCAGCTCGTGTCCTCAGTAAGTGCTGGGTTTTGATCCTGGCAGAAGGAATTCTCCCAGGCCAACTGTGCCAGCACTGAGACACAACAGAGCCCCCAGCACCATACCCTGAGTGCACTGCAACTCCTCAGGAATAATCAGGATGAGTTTGTGATTCCTGCTTTAACAGGACCCAAGAGTTCTCCAGACTGCACTCATGTGACTGCAACACAAACCCGAGTGCTCAATAATTGCAGTTCTAGTTTTTTTTTTTTTTGGAAGAATGTTTCTAACAGTGCTGGTTAATACCCATTTTCCATTTCCTTTCAGCAGATCACACAATTTTATTTATTTTTACACACATATGTGCAAGTACCAGTTCAGTTTTGTTATCCTAAGACTCACAGAAACCTGGTTTTAAAGCAGAGACATTTCAACAATTTCTTCTACACTAGAAAAGCCTATCATGATCATTCACTGCTGGTCAGTAGGAAGGGAAGTAAATAATCTCAAGCACTGAAGTATTGTACAAATGGCAGAGAGAGCATACCTTCGTTATTTTTGTAGTCTTCATGTAAAATAGGAAGATCAAGTCTAATCCGCTTAAGGCAGGTCTGCAGGTGGGACATTAAAACTCTGGTAATTCATCTGCAGCAAATTTTTATGTTCAACTTTGGGAGGATAGGAAAACCACAGCAATTTAATTTTACACTTTATTACTCTGAAAAAAAATACTCCTTTCACTTCTATTTGACACACAGACCTTCAATGCTGTGGATCATCTCCTCAGTCCTTCATCTAACACCCAGCCACTTGAGGCTGAATTCTTTATCAGTCTTCTTTTGCAGGTTCAAACATTAAACAGCAACCAAACAAAACCCAAAACCCCAACCAGTTCCAGCATTCTTAACCAACTTGCTGTGGTTAAAGATGTCCTGAAAATGCTGAAGCCAATTCTCTGGAGCATTATTTCAAATAAAGAAAGGTTCTATCTAAATATAAACATAAATACCAGACAGAGCTCTAAATTGAGAGAAATTAATTTAATAACATTATACTTCAGAGCAGTATGCACAACCCAAGTCTTCTTCTACTGCATAATTCATCTCCTAAACCTACCTCTTGCACTATTCCAAACAGCACGGAGAGGAACTGACAGAAATACATACCTGAACTTCCTTTTTGTTTCCCAAAGTCTCCACTCTGTCAATAAAATCCTCAAACTGCAGTTTTGGGAACAGCCTGTGAGCCCAGTGCTCCATGTGTTGTATGAGTGTCTTCAGGTCCTCTGCCTAGAGCAGGAAACACAACATCCAGCTGCTAAAGCTGACAGAGAAGGGAGACTGCAGGGGGAAACAGGACAGTCATTCCTGAAAACATGGAGCACCTGCAGCTGGACAGTGTCTGGAAAATGTCAGCAGTACAAATGTGTGTAACCTTTCCTTCCTCCTCCCACAGTGCAGTGTCAGTGCAATCTCAGGCTGTGAGAACAGCACGGATACAAGCACAGGAGAGCATCCCCATATCCTGTAAAATACCTGCAGGTCCTGAAGCATTGTCCTTAAACTACCAGGGCTGAACCCAGGCTGAAATAAATCCACAGGGGCACAGCTAGAACTGATCCTGATGTTTAGGATGCAGAAACATCAAAATAAGTTGATCTAGGAAAAGGTTTTTGCACCTTTCAGCAATACTGCCCAGTTCCTTTGTGCCTCCGGGGTAATGAGAACTTTTATACCATGGGTGCTCTTTGTAAACCAGGGATGCACAGGTGTCCTTGCACGTGTGCCAGGAGAATCATGGAATCCTTTGGGCTGGAAAAGTCCTCAAAGATCACAGAGTCCAACTACTCCCCCAGCACTGCCTAGACCACCACTAAAACATGTCCCCAAATGTCACATCAGAATATCTTTTAAATCCCTCTGGGGATGATGACTCCACAGCACAGGCTGGACAACACTCTTGGTGAAGAAATCTTCCCTAATAACCAATCTACACCTCCCTGGCACAATTTGAGGCTGTTTCCTCTTGTCCTACTGTTTGTTATTTGGGAGAAGAGACTGACCCTCCCCTTCTACAACCAACTCTATAATGACATGTAAAGGAAAATAAGCTCTGCAAGTTTAAGCACACCCAAAACAATAAGAAAGCTTGTAGAGAAAATCCTGCTTTCTCTTTGCTCAAGTGGTATGTCACATTTTTTTTTTAAAAGCTTGGGATTCAAAACCCTGCTTGTATGGACAATACAAGAGTCAGAGATGTGACATTCTACTTTTAGAGTTGAGGAAAAGAATTTTATTATCAAAAGATGGATTTTGTTACAACATTTCATGTTTGTTTTAAAATGTGCAGCTCCAAACACCATCAGGGTTTGTTCAGACACTGCTGGAAGCTGCCTAACTATTATCAGTTCTCCCCACATTAGATGGGCAGCACTTTATCAAATCTACATTAACCTCCCAGGAAACAAAACCAAAGCTCACCAGGTCTTACCTCGTGCCCTTTACCCTTGAATTTCACGTTGTCAAACATGTTTCTCAGAGCTGGGAGCCCTCTTTCTGAAACTAACCTGGGAATAGGAAACGGGTGAATTATTTGAAGCCCACACTTTCTTCTTTCAATTAACAAGTAAAAAGAAAAAACACTCACATTACTTGAAATAGCCTAAAGCTTGGATTCTTTCTGTTGATTATAAAGAACTTACACCAGTTTTAGAGGTACCTTAATCATTCTCCCACAGCCCTACACCAAACTGAGCACACAAAGAAATATTCTGTATAAAGTTACCTCTGGGCATCTAATCTAGGCCTTGGTCTTTTAACTGCTTTCTGTGTGGTCACAGCAGAATCCTTTGTTTGGGACTGCTGGTTTCCATCTGGATCTGGGGGAGAAAATAGCATCGTTTAAGTATTCAGAGCAATTGCCATCACCTAAGATTGTATCGTGTACGTTTTAAGTTTCTACTTGTATTTCTAATAAGTGTATTAAGAGTGCATCCAACACTCCTATCTCTTCTAAAAGCCAAGTCATAAAGAGTAACTATAAATCACTGCTGTATAAATATTTGGAACAACATTTTGTCAGAAGAGCTTGAGTTTTATAAAGATTCCTTTGTGCACATATTCTCATGGAATCTATAAAAATAAATTTTTCCCACAAGCTGGAAAGGATCGCATGATTAACAATTTAAATTGACAGTTTGTTTTCTGCCTGTTTGCATGCACTGAAGTCCAACACCACTGATTTCGACTGCACAGCATTAAAAAGGGATTTTTAGGGGTCCCGGGTGTTCACCTCCATTCGCCTGAGCCCACTCTGCATCGTCTCTTCCCGGAGAGGCAGGAGGTGGAAAAGGTGGGAATCTTTCGTCTTCTGTGTTCTCATAATCAGGAAGATCAAACAAGTTGTTCTCTAAAGGATCTAACATTGCCACAAAGAAGTCTTTTTTCCCCTCCTGCACAAAACACCAAAAGCATTTAAAGAGAAGCAGCAAGGCAGCCACAGAAGCAGATAAATTATATACAATATTTACAGTTTTTTCAGGAAAAGATCTGCCAACCAGATCATCACACAAATTAAACAGCAGATACGATACAGAAGATGACATAACCCAGCCTCGCTGAACCGAATAAGGGTTTGTGATTTTTCAACTCGTCAAAGTTACTTGGGAGTGGCAGGAATTAACCAAAATAAGTGGATCCCTGACCACAGCGCTTATCAATGGAGCCGCGTGCCCCTCACATCCCTGACCAAAGCCTTCGGGGGTGGAAAGGCAATTTCCCAAATTTGCAGCTCACCCTCTCGGAAAAGCGATCTGGAGGAAGATTCCCCTTCCCTGGCTCCTCAGGTGATCCCAGAGCCGCGGCCGGAGCGGGGCCGGGCACAGGTGCTGTCAGGACAGGCTCAGTTCCAGGAGCGCCTTCCCGGGCGCCTCCGGCCGTGAGGGAGCGCGGGCCCGGCTGAGGGGCCCCGGCCACCCCAGGACGCCGAGTCCCGCGAGAGCCGCGAGTCTCGCGAGATCCCGAACGCCGCGGCTCAGCGGTTTTGGCGCCAAAACGCTGAGGGCCGGAGCGGGGCGGCTGAGGCAATCCCGGGGCTATGGAGTCGGGGAATGCTCAGGGTGGGGAGGGACATTACAGCTGGAACATTACAGATCATCTCATTCTTATTCCAACCCCCTTGCTGTCGTCAGGGATACCTTCCATTATCCCAGCTCTCTCCAAGCCCTGTCCAGCCCGGCTTTGGACACTTCCAGGGATGGAACAGCTGCTGTGGGCAACCTGTGCCAAGGCTTGACAAGGAGGAATTTCATCCTAATATGCCATCTAAACCTACTCTGTCAGTTTGAAGCCATTCCTCCTTGTCTCTCCAGAGCCTCCTTTTCCATCCTTGATGTAAGGTCCCCTCATGAACTGGAATGCCACAGTTACGTCACCCCAAAGCTTCTCCAGGCTGAACAATCCCAGTTCGCTGAGCCTTTCCCCATAGGAGAGGTGCTCCATCCCCCTGATCATTCTGTGCCTCCTCTGGACTCACCCCCTTCCTGTGCTGGGCCCCAAGGCTGGGGCAGCTCTGCAGGTGGGGTCTCACCTGAGCAGAGCAGAGTGGCAGAATTCCCCCTTTCCTCCTGCCTTCCCTGTGGGATCAGCCCAGGATACACTTGGCTTTCTGGGACATGTCCAATGTCTCACCCACCAGCAACTCCAGCCACGTGTAGTGTCACCTTGTCAGGGAAAACGTGGAGGGGATTAGTGTTTAATTTGAAATATCCAATGTTGTGAAGTCCCACTATGAGTCACCTCCAGGAATGGCATTTCAAATACTCCCTGTTGAGCTTCTGTCACTTCACCAAGTCATGGAATCACTGAGGTTGGAAAAGACTCCAAGAACATCGAGTCAAACCTGTGCCTTGTCCCCCAGCCCAGAGCACTGAGTGCCACAGCCAGGAATTCCTTGGACACCTCCAGGGATGGGCACTCCAAACCTCCCTGGGCAGCTCCAATGTCTAATCCGCCTTTCTGGGAAGAAATTCTTCCCAGTGTCCAACCTCAGCCTCCCCTGGTGCAGCTTTAGACGATGTTCTCCTCCTGTCCCTGTTCCCTGGGATAAGATCCCAAATCCCCCCGGCTGTCCTCTCCTGTCAGGGAGTTGTGCAGAGCCACAAGGTCCCTCCTGAGCCTCCTTTTCCCGAAGCTGAGCCCCTTTCCAGCTCCCTCAGGAATTCTCCAGCCCGTTCCCAGCTCCGTTCCCTTCCCTGGACACGCTCAAAGTCCTTCACAGGACTCGAGCAGTTCCTCCCCAGCGCCGGGGCAGAATTGCTGCCCTGCTCCTGTGCCCACGCTATTCCCAGCCCAGCTCAGCCATTCCCACCCTGTGTCAGAGGAAAGGACCAGGACAGAGGAAAGCCGAGCTCTTCTCCAGACAGAACCTTCTGGGAATTGAAAACGGAACAGTTTGCAGTTGTCCAGGCTGCAGTAAATATGCCGAGCCCTCAGAGGTTTGGCAGCTGTGCACAGAAAATGCCATGAAAGGATTTGGGCTGCAGGGACAACAGGAGAGACTCCAGGCTCTCGTCTCCAATGCAGTTGGAGCTGTAAATTGTTCTCATATTTTTACAGCTCAATCCACAAAAGTGTATCTGACTTAAATTATAGTCTCTTTGTTTAAACAAAACTATATAAATTAATGTAAAATAGTCATCCATTAAAGGAATTGGTTTTCCCTTATTTCTCTATAAATTCAAATTTGACATACAATGTTTCTGGTAATTTAATGTATTCCTCCTAGTACGACAAAATCAATTGCAGTTACTTTCTGGTTAAAATTATTTTAACAGTTAATGTTTGAAATGTGCATTCCCAATTGCTGCAGCATCTTTTATAGTCAAGAATATGTTAAATATTGCGAGAACACACTAATGGATTTTTTAGCACTGAATCAATTTATCTTATCTTTATAGATATGGTAAATTTCTATAATCAATTAAGGCAATTGAAGTATGAAAATTAACACAGAGATTTTAATAATATTCATAGATCAAGCGCTGCTAATTTTCAGCACAAAATATTATAATTGTCATATAAAATTAGTGAAAATCAAATACCTACATGATGAGCTCTTTGCATTGGAAATAATAGTCACTCTTTGTACTAAAAAATCCTTACAAAGGAAAAAAAAAGCAGAAGATCACTTACAATCTCTGCAGAGGACACAGGCTTATAAAACCCACCAAATTTATGCAACTTTGATTAATCAATATTTTTGAAGAGTGTTTAATTAGAAGCTGGACTTGATGACCTAGGTGTTTCTTTCCAGTCCTATGTTCCTAATTAAATAAAAAGCAAATGCTGGCAGGCATTGATTATTGGTTTTTCCTCAGGAAATGAATAACCAGCCACATGCTGCTAAAATAATAAGTCAGGAAAAAACAAACAAAAAACCCCCCACAGGTTGCCTCTGTTCTAGAAAACACTTCTGGTTTCTCGTTTAGGTGAAAAGGAAATATTACTACTTGTTTCTGTTTGATTACTGTAATTTCATTAGAAAAACTGCAGAAAATTAGCACCTTGTTTTATATTTCAGCCTCATTTCCTGCTTTGTTACACGTAATATATGGCAAAGCAAATCTGTCAGATGGATAATTGCCTGCTTCCACACTTGGAGGGGTTTATTCCTAAGGGAGCAGAATTTGCTCAGCAAAAAAAGCCTTCAAATATGATGTTGGCAAAGCTGTTCATGCCATAAACCCTCAGCACAACTGCTCCCATTGTAGCTGTATTAGTGGGAAGTCACATCTTAAGGATTAAGCAAATTTCAGTTATTTGTGATTTATAGGTATTTGCATTTATACCTTGCTGATTTAATCTAAGTTTGACATTATGCAGCCACCTTAAACGTTAATTTCTAAGATTTTAGGATATCACAAAGCATTAAAATAGTGCTGTGATCCACAGTGCTCTTTTAAATCCCTGTTTCTTGAGGAAAATAAGGTGCAAGGCAGGTTGTGATTTCTGTCAGGCTCTCTGTCAGCTCCCTTCAAATAAGTTTTGATCCTCTTGGCCAATTTTATTCAAATTCGAACCAGACTTCTTAAATTCCATTGCTTTTTGGGACTAATTATTTCCCTAACTTGCTTTTCTAACCACTAAATAGATTAAGAAGTATTAAATCTTGCAAATAGAAGTTTGTGTGCACATGTTTTGGCAATAAAATGTGCAGCTCTATATGGCAATCGAGTTTGAAAAGTTGACTTAATTTAGAAGCAATTGATCTATACAGTAACTGTGGTTTTCTTTTCATGCAAGAAATTATGCAAAAATTTGGTTTCTATAAGGGGGAAAAAAGTAGTAATGAACACAAGCTTCTTTGTTCCACTTCTATTTACAGAGACAAATTATTTCTATTTTTCCAAGCAGTGGTGAAATCAATAAATCAGAAAGTCTCCCCGCTCAGAAGCCTCTTGCTGAAATTACAGTACCTTCTATTTTTTCTTCATCTTTTTCTCTGTGATTCAGCTCCAGAAACACCTGTTTGTAAAGCAAAACACAGTTCCTTCCATGGAAGATATTCAAATTTCCAAAACACGTGTTCTGTTTTGGTTGGGGAAATGTACTTAATTTCTAGTAACAAATGCCCTGAAGTTAAACCTATTTGTTTTACAGACAACAGTACAGAAATTATTTCTGAAGTGGCATCAATCCATATGCCCATGAATTTATTTCTAGATGCAGTCAATCCAAGATATTTTTGGGTTTTGTACTTTGGTCGAAAGGATTTTAAAAGAGATTGATGAAATCAGTAATTGCACAGTCCAGTTCTCAGTGCAAGGACAAAGGGCTCCAGAGGAGGGAGCTGTCCCTTAATATCTGGAATTGGATGGAGGGAATATGTCTTTGATGGCAAAGCAATGAAAAAAATTATTTTTTTTTACTTAAGAAATGGATAAGAAGATAGGAACTACTCAGCATTTTTGCATTATATACAGGGAACTTTGTTCATCATTTGTTTCTATAAAAACATTAATGATTACTTCAATTAAAATATAATTGCACTTTTGCAAACCACAAAAATTTAAATCATACAGAATTCAGGCTGGTTCTTTATCCAAATAATTCACAGTAGAAATTTTGCTATAGAATTAATTCTGCATTTCTTTTTGTGTCTGAATCAACTCAGATATACTTTTATGGAATATAAAAGCTGTCCACTGCTGGAAAGATGTTATTCATTCAGGTGGTGTATTCACATGTCTGGTATATGAAAAAGATCATTTGGGAATCTCAGGAAAAAATGGAACTGCCAAAGAAACGTTTTTTTCACTCTTTTACCAGTACCAAGCCTCTACCTCCACCTTTGTGCTGAGTTCCTCGGTGCTGCTTCACTTCTTGGTTTGTCTGTGAGGCTTCATTTATCACTTAAGCCAAATGATGAGTAACTGCAGTCTTTGCCGCCCGATGTTGCATTTGTTGACAGGTGGAGCACTGTGTGGTACAGCAATATACAGCAGCAATGGAAAGAATTTCTCAGTTGTGTCAGGAATCAGAAGAAACCTGTAAGCCCTTTTCACTGTGTAACACCTACAGGCCTTAAAAGAGTTTTCAGCTGACTTCTGCTGGATTCACACAATGAGAAATTAATCTTAAAAAGCAACTCAAACTTTAGCAAAGTTCTTTACAGATCTTAGCAGCAGAGGCAGGACTGTAGTGCCACTCTGTTCACGGAAGTCAAATGCATGGAACTCCTTTTATCTCCTGAACCTTATCATATGATTAGTGTATGTGTCATTGTTAAGTGCAGAGTTAACTGCACATGGGTGTGCAGAT